CATATAGATGGCACCAGCAGGCGACTCAAAAATGTCCCCCATGATCCTGGGGACTTCAAGACCCTCTTTCTTCTCTTCATTCTCGTCAGATCTCCTGAGCTCAGGGTCCAGGCCCTGCCTCTCGCCCTTCTCCAGCTGCAACTGCACGGAGTGGTCGATGAGGTGGAAGAGCCCGGGCGACACGGCCTGGAGGTACTCGTGGCAGCGTGGCAGCGAGGCGAAGACGGTGTTGATGACCAGGGCGGAGCGGTGGGCGGAGTGCTGCTACGGTCCTCATCAAGGTACTTGGCTATGAGGTAGTCCAGCATTGCTTCTCCCAGGAATTCCAGGCGCTGGGAGCAATCAGTGGTGGTGTTGTAGTGGTGGGAGGCATGGGTGAACGCCTGCGGCAGGCACGCCTTGGTCTTGAAACTGTAGTTGATTTTCTTTTTGAAGTTTTCCAATCCCGAGATCAGGTGGTTCAAAGTCTTATCAGCTTCCGGGTGGTCAAACATGCATCTGGGGGGCGATCTTCAGGCAGCCATACTCCGGGTCCCGGAGCCCAGCGGGAGCACCTGCAGGCCCAGGGAGCAGAGGAATTGCTGCGTGGCCCGCTTCCCGCACTGATCAGGTAGCGCCCAGCAGAGCCTCCACGCAGGCCCCGGTGCGCTTGTTGGCGATGCGCTGCTCTGTGTGCAGGGCGTGGGAGATGGACTGCTTGCCCGCGTCGGAGCTGCAGCTCTCCTCTGAAGGGTTCCAGAAGCTCACTTCAAAGTCGACCTCCTCCCCAGCCTTGCTGGGGTCCAGGTAGCACATGGCGTCCCATGCACTGGAGTTGAGGTCAACGAGGTCTGGCGTGAAGGGCAGGCCGCCCAGCGGGGTCTTCTTGGGCACCTTCCATTCGGCGGCCAGGTCAGTGGCTGAGAAGAGCAAGAGGGAGAGCTTCATGAAGGCCCCCAAGCCCAGGAGCATGTTGTCCGTGAACTTGAGGTGCTCTTGGTCGTAGTCCAGGAACTGGTCCTCTAGACATACTTTCAAAAGAGACCAGCCTCCGGGAAGGACATCCTGCTTGGCCAGCAAGAAAAGAAGGCGATTATCAAGGAGCTGGATTGACACCGTGGTTGCAACAAGAGGCTCACACATAGCAATTGGGAGGATGGCACGAGGTCCGGCAGTATTTTGTTCTGTTATTACTGGGTCACTATGAGTCAGAATCAACTTGATGGCACCTAACCACAACGATCTATTCACTCTTCTTTGAGCTATTGTTAGTTGCCCTGAAGTCAACTCACGGGAACCCCAAGCATGGTGGAACGAAATGCTGCTGGCTCCTTTCTCATCCCATGATTGATTGGAGATCTGATAGTTGGATAAATGTTTGGAAGTGGATTTCCAAACCTTCCCCCCTCTAGTTGGCCTCAGTCTGAAAGCATCCTTGGAATGTGTACAGTATATCCTAACCTCTCACTGACCAAAAAGTAATGGTTCTGGTGGCATGCATTGGCTATATATCAAACCCAAGTCTCTCTCCAGAAAGTTAAGAGTTCTATCTTTGACCCATCTCTGCTCTCCTACCCTACAGCAGTTGTTTTTCAGTCCCTTGTCTTTGCCATGCTCCCCCTTCCTTCCTCCTCCTTCTGCCTGGAATGCTCTCCTCCACCCTCTCTGTCCAATTACCCCTTATTCATCCTTAGCTATCAGGCTAAGTGACATTTCCTCAGAGATGTTTTTCCTGGTTCTCATAGCCCTGTGCTTTTGGACCATGTTTATAGGTATTATTTTCTATTTGTTCATTTGATTAAAAATATATATCTGACTTCCCTGTTGAACTGAAAGCCCTATGTAGAAAGACTTCATTGTGCCTGGTCTGCTTTGAGTCCCAGGAGTAGGGGTAATGCCTGGATCATAAGGCCTTAGGAACACATGCTGAATGGTGACTTGGCCTGGCCTTACGTAGCTCACTCAACTAGAAAATCACACTGATTCCAAAACCTCGCACCTATTTTTAGCTCAAGAGATTTTGGATTTAGATAACATTGAGCTCTTATTGAGTCTCAAATACTGCTTAAAATTTAAGAAGAGTTTTTGCTTTGATTTCTTTTTGATATCTTGCTTTGGTTCTAGAGAGATGCCAAGAGCTTCAGAGCATCATACCCACCCACTGCTGTTGAATCAATGCCAGCTCTTAGCGACCCTACAGAACTGAGTAGGCTGCCTGAGAGGGTTTCTGAGACTCTACATCTTTATGAAAGCAGACTACCTAATCTGTCTCCCACAGAGCCACTCGTGGGTTTGAACCACCAACCTTCAATTAGCAGTTCCAAGCTTAATCCACTGTGCCCCAGAATGCCTTGACCTATGATAATACCCTCAAGAAAGGGTTTCTAGTGAGCTAGTGGAGCCAGTTGGCTCATTAGGCTCATATCATAAATTCTAGGAACATGCTGTCTTAATAACCCAGGTGCTTGTTTTTCACAACATGTTCTTTCAAACACCCCCAGGAGCTGTAGCAGGAAAATGCAAAGCAGGAGCGATGAGCCAGCCCAGTTGGTCAGGATCCTCACTGTTGCTTTGCCGAGAGCACTCTCAATGTAAACTGCTTTGTTGGCTGGGTTCTTACTCTGCTTGAGAGGTCCTTGCATTAGAATTTGTAAATAGCACTTTCTAAGGTTTTCATTTTTCTTTTAATTTTACATTTAAATGGGGATGACCACAAAGAAAGAACACAAATCCTCACATGTAAGTAGAGTGGAGCCAACATCTCCCACATGGACTAGTCTTACCTGTCTAAGCTAATGGAGTAGACTGGAGGAGACAGAAGAAGAAAAAAGACAATGAACAAGCTAAACTTGACCATAATTCTAGGTTTGAATGCAGTAATCACAGTATTCTGTAAACTCCCTTCACTATTGCACATCGACTTAGTTGTACAACTTTCTTTTCCTTCACTAGAGAATTATTGGTTAGGGAAAATCCCAAATGATCCTAAGAAATCATATGCTCCATACCATGTACTCATGTGCTCAATTCCAATCCCACCCTACTGATAGTTGTGGAGTTGAAAAGGCTAAAAATGGCTTTCTCTGAATTCTACTGCATTTAATATTTTGGGTGTGGGCCAGTTTGTTTGAATCTAATTGAACATTTCATTAATTAGATCGCTGGGGTGAGATTTTAGAAGGCAAGTAAGATAATAATGCTACATGCTTATACTATAAAACCCCCTTTTATCGTTCCCCACAGGGTCCTGCAGACAGGAGAAAATTCTATACAGACCTTTGGGCAATAATGGGCCCTGATTCTCAGTTGGTGATAACTCCTGAGGACTCAGAATGTTACTGTGCCATCTTATGGAGATCAGATATTAAAGGCAATTGTGGCTTGAATCCCTTTTCCAGTGAGAGATACATAACTGACAAAATCCAGTCCTTCCCTTTTTGGTTTCCTGACCTGCTGCATTTATGGGATAAAAGGCCAAGTAGAAGCCCGTGGAATTCCTTCTTTGAACAAAATAGAGAACCCGAAGCAATGCCATGTCCCTAGGGTAACTGCAAAGATTAGTGCATCAAACAGATCTTGAAAGATACAGAGGTAATGAGATCCTGTCCTGTTTAACTCATTGATTGAAACGAATAAAAGGAATGATTACAAATATACTTGGGTGGTGACTAGTTATAATTGCTAGTCAATATAAATTATCTCCTTCCTGGAGCAAATCAACAAAACCTCTAACACACAACTGTGGATTTGGAGAATGTGTGTTCCCACATGGTGTACTGGTTACAGGTGAGGCTGCTAACACAAGGTCAGCAATTCAAAACCACCAGCCGTTCCTTGGGAAACAGACAGGGCTTTCTTCTCCCGGAAAGAAGAAAGAAGTTACGGTCTTGGACATCCACAGGGGCAGTTCTACCCTGTCCTATAGCATTGCTATGAATTGTCATTGAATGGATAGCAGCAAGTAGTATTCAATTGTTAGAAAATATCAGAACAATTTTCTTTCACCTGAGTCATTGTCATCCTGGCTACAGAGTCCTTAATTCTCTCGTCACAGAGTAACTATCACGTTGGTCCACTAAATTGATCACATGATGCTAATTCTACCTGGTGTGCCTAAAATACCAGGCATTATAGATTCTTTCTTACGACATATGAAAACAGTATGCGAGAGAGTGAAAGGGGCCATTCATTTGAGGCTTGTTGAGACATTTCCTCTGAAGTAAAAGACAAGTTCCTTTACTTTGCACTTCTACGACGAAGGCAGATTCCCTGAGCTTGTTGGGAGCACATCCGACATCTAGTTGTGCTACGTATTCCCAGAAGACTTTGAATGGAATCAAGAGGAAGAGACATACACCCGAGCTTGTGCAGGTTGCAATCCAGCAGCTCTGTCACTTGTCGTTTATGACCCTATGCTGATATAATGATTCTCAAAAGGTCAGATCAAAATGCTAGATGGAAAATGCAACAACCTCAGATCACAGGCACCTGGGTTTTTAGAGCAAAGCCTCTTTAGCAGATAACTATTCTGATTTTTGAGAAATAGCATCAGACTTCCTTGTTACTGGGCTCTGGGTGGGACTCAGACACCAGGCCTTGGGATATCAAGGAACCATGCAACCTGAGCTTCCCATCGTGCACTGGGTGTGCTCTGACACACCCAAGTCATAAAATGCACAGCAGCAAACTGGCATTAACTGGTAGTGGATTATATGAATTCATTCACTAGCAAGTCTAACATTAAAGAGAGTTTTATAAGCCAGTGGCTCATATGCCCAGTGCATTTCTACTTGAGGGCATAATTACCCTCTCTTCTTCCCCTATAGCTATAGTTTCTTAAGTTCACTATGACCAGTTAATGAACCTAATTTCAAGAAGCTGGCACCCATGAGAAGTGAACACTACACAGATGGCAGTAGGAGTTCTGGAAAGAGGTCTGGACCCAGGCAGCACTAGGATCCAGAATGTTCTCTTTCTGTATCCACATGACTATACAAAACAGTAGAAAACAGCTAACCAAAAATCAAGGTGCATGCAGGGAGAGCCTCTTTCATCCACTGTTTCATAGTTATTTGATGGGCTTATGGACAAAAGGACCATGAAAGAGGTAGAGACTCAGCAGCAATGGACTTCCTCCTACCACTGCTGGACTGACCCTTTTCACTGCTGAGTATCTGGTTCTCAGTAGGCCATCCATTTCTGAGCTCCTAGTATTGTGCCATACTCCAAGGTAGCTTAAGGATTTTTTTTGCCCCTTCCAATTGAGATGTGAAAGAGGCTGCGGGACTAGGAAAGGCACCTTCGTCCATCAATTTGTCTGCCTTGTTGCAATATGTTTATCACAGCCTCCTCTTGGCCAAACAATACAAAACAAACCCTTGCTGTAAAGTTGATTCTAACTCTTGGCCACCCCATGTTTAACAGAGCAGAACTGCTTCATGGGGTTTTCTTGGCTGTAATCATTCTGGAAGTAGTTCCCCAGGCCTTTCTTCAGCAGCACGGCTGGGTAGGCTTGAACCACCAGCCTTTAAGTTAGTAGACAGAGCTAAAGGCCATGCTGTATGTGGGGTTTCAAGTGGAAGGACAGCAAGTAGAGGGGACTCCATGCAACTCACTTTCCCACCAGGGCATGAACCGCGGGCTCATGCTCCAGCTGGAGTGGATCTGAGCCATGGCTGCTCGCACCCTTCCATAATAAGGTTCCTTTATGTCGGCGGTTTCATTGGTAAGGTCACAAAAGAGGTCTGGAATACCCCAACAGTCCTCTTTATTTGTCCATTGTCTCTGTCCATACCTAAAGAAGGAGAAAAGAAGAAGGTCAAAATTTCTTTTTTTTCTTTTTTCCCATTGATAGAGTCTTCCCTATTTTTTCCAGTCTATTAACATGAGGGTAAGTCAAAAGATATTGCTACAAAATCATAAAAGTCGGAGGACAAAGAGGGAACTGATCACAGTGATCTACCTATAACCTCCTCCTCGGGGGATGGACAACAGAAAAGTGGAAGGGAGACATCAGACAGTGTAAGACATGGAAAAATAAGAATAATTTATAAATTATCAAGGGTTCATGAGGGAGGAGGCATGGAGAAGGAGGGGAAAAGTGAGGAACTGATACCAAGGGCTCAAGTACAAAGAAAATGTTATGTGAGGGGCCGGCCCCAATCC